GCCCCCGCCCCCAGTCGCCTCTGGGTGGGTTCCGGGAACGTGTCCCGCCTTTCCATTGGTGGCTGAGCGCCGCATGCACAGACGCCCCACGCCCTGGCCGAGTGGGTTGGATTTGCTCGGGCCCCACTGATGCCTTGGACTTGCCCTCTGTTGGCGGCATACGTGCCTTGCCCATGGCTCCTCCTGAGCGCAGGCATGTCATCCCTTGGATCGAGCTCTGGTGTTTTAGGATCTTGACAGGGACGCCAGGAGGCCAGGGCCTCAGGGGTGCGGGGCCAAGCCTTGCCTCTGGGGAGCCTTTCTGCGCCGCTCCGCCTGTCGATAAGACTGTAACATTTATTTAATGTGTTTGTATTCTTCACTCAGACGTCAATATGCAGGACGTCGCTGAGAGCACAGCGCCGGGCGGGCGGGCTCATTGGTATGCGCTGCATGCCTGGTGGAGCCTCTGCCCGCTGCCAGGGCTGGGCTAGGACCCCCGCCCTTCTGGAAGTCTTGAGAAGAGAGGGAGGGGAGAGGGAAGCTGTCTGTGGTGCTGAGTGCTGATGAGTTTCAAGGCCTGCTCTCAAGTGCTGGGCCAAGAGGTGGCTTTGTCTTCCTCTGGAGCCCTGCCCTGGGCTTGATGCAGTGAGCTCAGCCTTCTGAGCCCTGAGCGCCCAGCATCGTACCGAATCCTCCCATTTGACAGATGAGGAGCCAAGGCTCAGCCCCGTGGGGGTTTTAGACCGAGCGCCTATGATGTGCTTGCCTGGAACGAAACAGCAGACACAGCAGTTGAAGCTCCTGCTCTGGGAAGCTCAGAGGAGCTGGGGGAGGCTGAGCTGGCCCAGGAATACGCATACATGTGTGAGAGAATTAAGTGGTGAAATTTTATGGAAGGAAATAAAGTCTAGAAAGGACATAGCGAGTGATAGGAGGAAGGAGCTGCTTCATGTGAGGCAGGAGGTCAGGGAAGGGCCTCTCGGAGAGGGTGGCTTCTAAGCTGAAGCCCAGAGAATGAGGAGCCACCAGCAGGTTCCTGGGAGACACAGAACCCAGCCAGGAGGACAGGGCAGCTTGTGCAAAGGCCCTGAGGTAAAGAAGAGCTTGGTCTTCCAGGTGAAGAGAGGAGGACCCTGTCCTTGGAGTTGAGAGGGTGGGAGGGGATGAGCTGCTCTGGGAGAATCATGGAGAAACCTATAAAGAATGGAGCTGGTGGAGGCTGAGGGTCCTGCTCGGAGGATGGCCCAGGCAAAGGAGGTGTCTTTAATGGATCTTCACACGTCTCGGCTCCAGACCAGGGCTGCTGCCCTCCTTCCCCACACAACCCGGGACCCCATTTCCCTCTTGGCTAGGGATGTGCGTGTGAAGTCTCTGGAAGGCTCGCCTCCTGCTGGCTTGCAGAGCGTGCGTCCTGGTCAGCCCTGACCTGGCCAGCTGTCTTGTCTTCTGCCAGCCTGCTCTCACCTGTCGGCCGGACTCCCAGATGTCAGACACCAGTGCTGACGCTTCATCCACAGTGGGACTGACACACATCCCGGTGAAGCCCCCAGGCTTCTTCCTTCTTAAGCTGGGGCCAAGGTGGAGGAGGAAAAATACTGGGGGCCTGTTTGTGGATTCAATTTCCACCTACCCACCCACCCCTTCCCATACAGGCCGGTCAGCTCAGTCCTGATCTTAGCAGGGACACAGTTGCACCATGAGGGGCTTTCAGGAGAAGGTGTGAGTCTGTCTCTGGTGTCCACTGTTCCGTCATCCTGACGGATGGCCTGTGTGCAGTGGGATGCAGAGGCTGTCAGGACAGAGAAGTTGTGGGGGCCGGGTCAGGCAGGATCTCACAACCTACTGTGGGGCATGGGAATTTTACTCCGAGTGAGACGGGAGCCTTGACAAAGCCGTTTCAACAGGCTCGCTGTGTTAGTCTGGGTAGACTAGAGAAACAAAGTCCACAGAAACATATATATATATGTTTTACATTAAGGGTAAGTGTACATTAAGAAAGCATCCCAACCCAGTGCTGTCCAAGCCCATAAGTCCAATATTAGCCCATAGGTCCGACACCGATCTACAGTGTCCTCCTCAATCTCACACAATACATGCAATGACGCCGACTGCAGGAGGAAAGCCAAGTCAATGATCGTGTAAGCATCTCAGGGCTGACAGGGGTCTCCACACAGCTGCTCCAGCACCCAGGGCTGCATTGGGGTAGGTCCATGCAGCTTCTCCTTGAGGATATCTCACGAGAAGTGAGCCTTGCCAGCTGAAGCAGGGAACTGGCTAAGGCAGCTGCACCCTGGTCCGATCATCAGAGAGCAAGAGACCTGAGAACTGAAGGACGAGGCTCACTGAGCCATTTATTATTGGCACAATGAACCCTAACTACCTCAATCACTGTGGCTGCTGGGTGGTGGTTGGACTGCAAGAGCAGGGCTGGAAGTGGGGAGGCCTGTCTTCTCAGCACTTGCAAGCAGCCTGGCAGGAGGTCCCCCAGTCAGGGATGTTCTAGGCTTCAGCGAACAGAAAGCCTCTGTTGCAGGAGCTGTAAACTGTAGGGAGGCTGATTGTTTTCTGCCCACCGGGCCCCAGGTAGCAGTCGTGTTGGACTGCCAGCCTGTGAGGCTGTTCTTTCTCCCTGCGTGGTGCGCTTTTGCCTAGGACTGCTGCTTTCCCCTCATGAGGATGGTGGCTGCAGTGCCAGCCCACGGCTTCGCGCCGAGGGGAAAGCTGGGTGGATGGAGGGGCAGGGAGCCTTGCTCTTTCTGGGCCTCTCATTTTTCAGGGTGGGGATTCCTCAGAAGAATCTGCCAGCTGACACATCCCACTGCCACCCCCACCCATCCCCCACCCCAATGTCCCTTGGCCAGAACTGACCCCCGGACTATCCACACCCATGAATGGACTGCCAGGTGTCTCCTGGGGATGCCCGTGTTGCATGCAGGGCAGTCAGGAGTGAGTCTGGCTGGTGGCGATGAGGCCTACCCCTGGGTTGTCAAGGACACAAGGGCAGAACCAGGTGGTGAACTCTGGCCTGGGGTTGGGGTGGGGACAGTATGAAGGGTGGCAGCGTAGTGTGCCGGCTAAATGCCCAGTGCCTGCAGTCAGGCCAGCCTGGTATCACAGCCCAGCTCTGCTGGCTGCCAGGTGTGTGAACCTCTGAGCCTGAACTCTGCTCATCTGGAAAACGGGCCCCATAGCAGATAGCTCGTGTAGTGGGAGTGAAGGTTAAACAAGGGGATGCCTGCAGTGCTGGGGCACAGGAGAGGAACCCAGAGGGCCTCCAGGGTTAGGCATTGGGCTGCCAAATCAGGGGTTTTAACCCCCCCCCCCCACTAGCCATTTCTCAGGAGGAAGAAGAGGCTGACTGCTGCCATTAAGGGTTAGTCTTAGAAACAGAAGGTAGGTTACAATGAGCCAGGCTCAATGGCAGTGCTTTTTAAATTTTTTAAATTTCTATGGTTAATGCTATTGGCCACAGTGGCATGGTTGTACCCTGCTGGGCTGCCTTGCACAGGGCAGGCTCTGGAAACCTTTGTTTCCTTTCCCGTTGGTGAGCTGCATTTCCAGCAAGTGATTGAGGCAGATTGCCCCATGGCTGATAGGACGGGTATTACAGTGCGGCCATGAAGACTCCACTTTACTCCGAGGTAGAAGATGTACGAGGTAGAAGATGTACGGGGAGGTGGGAGCTTGTTTTCCTCTGTAGGATTCAGGTCGCTGCTGCAGAGCCACCGGCTGCCCTGCCCTCTGCGCGTTCCTGGGCTGCAAACACTCAGCCCCAGCTCCACCACAACCTGAGAGAGACTCGGGGGAGAGGGGGTTAGGACTGACCCCAGGTCACCCAGTGAGCTGTGGAAGACCTCACACAGACCTGTTCCTTTCCCTGAAGGTGCGTGGTAGAGGAGGGTGCCTGCCCTGGGGGGCACAGTGGAGCTGGAGGGGAGAGTTGCAGTAAAGATGAGCAGTCTCAGGACCCCTAAGGAGGCCACCAGCCTCCAGCCGTGCCCGGACCTGATTCCGGTTTCACGCTTGCGCTTACCCCCACCCTGCAGAGTCTCCCATCCCCACCCCACCCTTTAGCATTTGGGCTCATCGGTTCCTTTTATGGGAGCCTCTACCTGACATCAGGTTCTCTCGAGAATGGGTCTGGAGCCCGAGATTTGCCTGAAAGATGTTTGGAAGTTACCTGTGGTAGACAGGACCCCACACCCCACACACATGCACCCAAAGCTGCCCACAGGCTCATCCCTAAAGCCTGTGAACATGCTGCTTTTCCTGGCCAAAGGGGCTGGGCAGGTCGTTGAAGTTAGACCATGAGCTGGGAAGGGCACCGTGGCTTATCCAGGTGGTTTATCCAGGTGGGCCTGGTGTGATCACAAGCCTCCCAGGAAGGAAGGCAAGAAGTCCAGAGTCAGCAATGGAAGCTGTGAGGACACACACACACACACAGAGAGAGAGAGAGAGAGAGATTGGAAGATGGGTAACTTTGAAGGTAGGGGAAGGGGTCCATCAGCCAAGGATTGAGGGAGCCTCTAGAATGTGGAAAAGGGCAGGGCAGCGGGCTCTCCCTTGATCCCTGAGAAAGAGGACAGTTCTGTTGACTCACTTTTGACTTGACCTCCAGCACCGTAAGGTAACCAGCCTGTGTTATTTTGAGCACTGAGCTTGTGGCAATGTGTTATGGCAGCGGTACCCTGCCTTTGGGATCAATGCTGGCTAATGAGGGAGGGAGAGAGGCAAGGCTGGGCAGATGCCATCCCAGCAGCGGCCTCAGCTGACCCTGCAGGAGCTCTGGAGTGGGGCTGGTCCTGCGGAGTTGTCCCAAATAAATGCCAGGGATACTGGTCCTGCCCCACGTACCACCACCGACTAGTCATTGGATGCAGGCTGCTCCCTGGAGCATGAGGCCCCTTCCTTCCAGCCAGGCCAGACCCTGGAGGCCTTAGCTGTGAGCCAGCCTCAGCCAGCCTTCCCAGCCTGGTCCTGAAGGAGAGTTACCATACCTCCTCAGTGGCATAAGCATGCCCGGGCTTTATTCTCTGCATTTTCTTACCACACAGGGATGTCCCGGTAAGAGTTTGGAGGGAAAGGACCCAGTCAGATTCTTCTCTGCCTAAGATGTGTCCAGCACAGAGCCTGGCAAAGGTCTGAGCCCCTCCCATCTGCCCGACTTGAAAAGCAGCTCACCTCCTGTGTTCGTCCGGGTTGACTAGAGAAACAAATCCAGGGACACTCATATGTTTGTAAGAGAGGAGTTTATATCACAGAGTCATTGTATATTAAGACATCCCAGCCCAGTCCAGACCAAGTCCGTAAGTCCAATATTAGCCCATATGTCCAGTACTAATCTATAAATCACTCTCCAGACTCCCACAGTCACATGCAATGATGCAGAATGCAAGAGGATCACAGGCCGGTGGGTGAAAAGTCTTGTGGATCCAATGGTGGTGGATGCATCACCAGGGCTCTGGCTGCCATCAGCCTGTCTCCATGTGGCTTGTCAACAGGAAGGTGAAGCAGAGAGTGCATCCCGCCTCCAGGGAGGAAGAGAGGAAGTTCCCAGAATCCTCATGAGAAGGCCACACCCACAGGGAGGCATCATCAGGCTGTGACCTGATTGAGGCTCTTAATAGCGCAAGTTGACATGAGATTATGTAACTACCACACCTCCCTCCCTGTGAGGAAGGCTTTGCCTCTCCTTCCAGGTTCCACCTGCGAATGCTTCCTCGAAGGCTTTTCCCGACAGTGAGAAGGAGGAGGAGGATATGCAGCCCACGTTTTCCGAGTGCTGCTGCCGGGCCAGGCCCCTGGTGTGTGCACTGTGTGCACAGACCCCTGTGTTCCTTAGCACAGCCTGGCAAAGCGGCACCACTGCGTCCCCCACGTTCTGGAGGGGGCAGCAGAGGCACGGGGAGCTGAGGGCTTTGCCTAGGGTGACATGCCTAGCAAGGATTCAGACCGCAGGCTGGCGGCAGCATGGGCACACCGTGCCAGATCGCCTCCTGAACGCCCAGACACCAGGGACCAGGGTGGGCTCTGCCCCATGTCACCTCCACACCTTCGGGGGTGGGGGGTGAGATCACAGGTTGGGCCTCTAGAGAGCTGCATTTCCAGGAGAGCATCCATCTCTCTGACACTTTGGGGTCCCGAGTCCCCGCCTGGAGCTCAGGGCCCCACGAGTGCCCTCTGGCAGTCTCTGGCTGTCTTCTCATCTGAGGAGTAACTTAGAGCTGGCTTGCCTCCCAGCAGCCCCTCCTAGCCCTGCTCCGGGGTGGGGGTGGGGGGGGAATGACAAAAACAACATTAGCCCGAGGTGGAGGTCAGGCACACCTCCACCCGCCGTGCTCATTTATTTATTTAAAATCATTTTACTCGGGGCTCTTATAGCTCTTATCACAATCCACACATCCATCATGTCAAGCACCTGTACGTATGTTGCCATCATCCTTTTCAAAACATGCTCTTTTTACTTGAGCCGTGGTATCGACTCATCTCCCCCCCCACCCTCATGAACCCTTGATAAATTATAAATCATTATTATTTTCATATCTTATACCGTATGCTGTCTCCCTTCACCTACATTTCTGTTGTTCCTCCCCTGGGGGGGCTGTTATACTCGATCATTGTGATTGGTTCCCCCTTTCTCCCTACACCTTGCCCCTACTCTCATGGTATCACTACTCCCATTATTGTTCCTGAGGGGGTTATCTGTCCTGGATGCCGTGTGTCGAGAACTCCTATTGTACCAGTGTACATGCTCCATGTTAGCTGGATTTGCAAGGTAGAGTCCTCCACCCTTAATTACTGTTTGACACCAGCCATCCTTCCCACTGCTCTGCGGGGTTCCGTACTTCACTGCAGGGGCCATACTCAGACAGTACTCAGGATTATGGGGCTGCTTAGGGAGGTTAACAGATGACAGTTTAGGATCAGAAATGCCCAGGATACAGCTCTTCTGGTCAGGAGTGCCTCTTCTCAGCTGTGCACTCAAGCACACCCTCCTTGGCCCTCGGCCTCTCAGCCATGCAGTCCCTTGGCCTCTGCCTTGCTTGGGCATGTGCCACAAAGTTTCTTTAGTGCTGCCAATAGGTGCTCAAAGGGCACTTCACCATAAACCTCCACCCAAAGGGGCTCAGCTCTAGCTCTGTGAGTCGGCAACCCTAACTCCCCCTGATTGCATGGCGGGGGGGGGGGGTGAGCCCACTCTGCAAGCGAGCCTCCCGCCTGAAGGCCTTCAGTCTTACTCACTCTGTAGGCTGTGAACCCCACTACTGCTATGTCTTGTGCAATTAGTCGTGGCTACTGCCGCTCTGCTACCCTGGGCCAAAGTAGGGGGATGGCAGGTGGCCAGGGAGGGCGCAGGCACTCTTCCCTGAAGCAGAGGACACGGTGGCCAGGAACATGTGACAGCCTCATTCTGCAGCCCCAGCAGCCCCCAGACCAAGAAGGGCACTTCCACGGCCACCTGGCAAGAGATGAGGCAGGAGCCTCAAGGTCCGATGGGATCTTCAAGTCTGGGTGCCCTCCGAGCCGCTGATGCTGTCTCCCTCCTGCAGGTGAACCTGGTGCTGGGGGAGGGCCGCTCCCTGGGCCTCACCATCCGAGGGGGTGCTGAGTACGGCCTGGGCATCTACATCACTGGTGTGGACCCAGGCTCAGAAGCAGAAAGCAGCGGGCTCAAGGTGAGAGACTGCCGACTCCTGAGGGAGGGATAGAGGGAGGGTGGACCGCCCAGCTGCACTGCGGGGACTCAGGAAGGGAGAACTTTGCATGGACTCTCAAGCACTGATTTTTTTTAAACCACATCCACTTATTTTATGCCTGCCTTTGTTTATTTGTTTTTTTAAATCATTTTCTTGAGGACTCTTATAGCTCTTATTGCAATCCATCCATCCATCCATTGTGTCAAGCACTTTTGTACATATGTTGCCATCATCATTTTCAAAACATTTTCTTTCTACTTGAGCCCTTGGTATCGGCTCTTCATTTTTTTCCCTCCCTTCCGGCCCTCCCTCCTTCATGAACCCTTGAAAAAATATAAATTATTATTATTTTTTCATGGCTTATACTGACCGATGTCTCCCTTCACCCACTTTTCTGTTGTCCATCCCCCTGGGAAGGGTTATATGTAGATCCTTGTGATCGGTGCCCCCTTTCTCCCTCCACCTTCCCCTTCCCCTCCTGGTATCACTATTCTCATTATTGGTCCTGAGGAGTTTATCTGTCCTGGATGCCCTGTTTTTCCAACTCTTATCTGTACCAGTATACATACTCTGGTCTAGCTAGATTTGTAAAGTAGAATCAGAGTCATGATAGTGGGGGAGAAGGGGAAGAAAGTGTTAAAGAACTAGAAGAAAGTTTTATGTTTCATCGGTGCTATACTGCACCCTGCCTGGATTGAGGGGATGTCCATTGTCTACAGATGGGCTTTGGGTCTCCCCTCCACCCTCCCCCTTGTTTACACCAATATGATTTTTTGTTCTGGGTCTTTGATGCCTGATACCTGATCCCATCGACACCTCATGATCTCATAGACTGGTGTGTGATCATTGTGGTCTTCCATGTGGGTTTTGTTGCTTCTGGGCTAGATGGCTGCTTGTTTATCTTCAAGCCTTTAAGACCCCAGACACTATATCTTTTGATAGCTGTCACCATCAGCTTTCTTCACCACATTTGCTTATGCGCTCATTTGTCTTCAGTGATCCTGTCGGGAAGGTGAGCATTACGGAATGCCAGGTTATTAGAACAAAGTGTTCTTGCATTGAGGGAGTACTTGAGTCGAGGCCCACTGTCTGCTACCTTAATATTAAACCTATAAATATAAGTACATAGATATATGTCCCCATCGTCATATATAAGTAATTTACATGTGCACATGCCTGTATGAAGACCTCTACACATGTTGGGCGCTGATTTTAATCAGACTCTCAGCAGCACAGTGAGCTTCTCCCACCCGCCCCCATCACCACCCCTCCCACAAGCTGTCTCCAGAGCTGGGCAGCCTCCTACCTGGTGCTGGGAAGTGGGCCAGTGTGAGCTTCTCGTGGGGCTGTGGTGCAAATATTGCTGGGGGCCTGTAATTGCCCTGACTTCGGGGCTCACTGGGGAGCTTGGAGAGAGAGGAAGAGAGAGAGCCACAGGGCAGGCTGGGGCAGCACTGCGCACCTGCAGGGCTTGTGTTCAGCCCAGCACATGTACCTAGCCACTACTGAAATAGAATTGTTGGCACATGTCTTTTCAGGGGATGGGCCATGTGTCCAGCCCTTGTAACCCACACCACACGTGCCATTACATTGACTCCTCATGCTAACCGGGGGTGTGGGTTGTTTCTGTCCGCCTTTCCCAGTGGGGGAGACTGAGGCACGGGTTAGCCAGCTTACACAGGGTCACACACCCATGGGGGTGGGGTGATTTGCAGAATAGGATCCGAACCCAAGCAGTGTTCATTCTAGCCTGTGAGTTGCAGAGGGCTTGGAATTTGCTCCAAGTGTGGGGGAGAGTCCCTGCCCATGAGGAGCAGTGGGCCCAGGACTGGGGCTAGCTAATGAAATCCAGATGCTGAGGAGGCCAAGGGAGCCGCCATGGGGCACAGTGGCAACAAGGGCAGGTGGCGTTTGACTCAGGCAGTGAGGTATAGAGGTTGATGGGAATAGGGAAGGTAGAGGTCGCGTGAGTCTGATCCCAGGTGACCAGTCCATGAATAAGGCTGGGGAATAACGCACAAGATGGGATCGCCTTGCTCCCAGGGCCTGGGGTGCTGTACCACCCTGGGGTGCCCAGTGTGGGAGGATGCTGAGCAGACAGGTGGAGGGGCCAGTGGGACTACCCGGTGGGCCTGTGGGAAGCTCAGGGAGGTGAGAGGAGCGCTGTTTCTGGATGTGGGAAGATGGGATTCAAACCCCTGCTTCTGCTGTCTTCCTTTAATAGCTATGTCATGTGGGGGTCCACGTACCTGTCTGAGCTTCCCTTCTCCCACATCACAACAATGAGTATGATGTCTTTCTCAGGATGCTGAAAGGTAAAGGGAGGTACCAATGAAACAATACCAACCACACTGGGGGTCTGTCGGTTGTCTGCGCTCTCTGATTTCAGATGTTCGACACATGAAGAATCAGCATTGAGCCCCTTGCCCAGGTCACACCGCTCAGGAGTTGGAGAGCTAGGTCTGAGCTCCCAGCATGGCAATTCAGGGGTGCTATTGCACCCCTGCTCCAGCAGAAGGACCCAAGCCATGTCCAGTGGGTCCCAGGGTCCCCTCCTTTCCCTGTCTAAAGTCAGAGCTGGGATTGGAACCCCAGCTTGACAGAAGCCCAGGAGCCTGCCATTGACCACTGGGCGAAGGTGGGTCTCGTTGTCCCTGTGTGGACAGAGGGTAGTTGACCAGCTTGGTCAGATGGTCTGCCTCCAAGGCTTTGCCCCCAGGGCTGAGAGAGCCAGAGGATGCCCGGGTCCCAGGAGCACCCCGCATTCTCTTCCTACGGATTCGTGTGTCCACAGCCTCCCACACAGGTCACTGCAGGCTGACCCCTGTTTGAGATGCAGACCGTGGGCATCTGGGACTGGCGCTCCCTCCCCCTGATCCACCAGTATGCAGGGAGCACTCCTGTGCACTCACGCCAGGCTGGCTGTGTGGCTTCAGAGCTGAGCAAACCTAGCAGTCGCTGTCTCCGCCCTCCAGCGGTCTATAGGCTACTGGGAAGGCCGTGCAAACAAGCCAGCAAATTGGACAGCCATGACAAATGTCAAGGCGGGCAGGTCCCTGGAGGGTCGCATGGGGCTTGGATATCCTGGCAGGCTTCCCAGAGGAAGAGTTGTCTCAGCAGAATGTGAAACACTAAGCGAGGACTTGGAGCAGAGAAAAAAGGGGGTGCCGAGGCCCCAGGTGTGCCAGCATTCCAATGAAGGTCAGTGGGTGGGCTGAAGAAGAAGGTGCCTGATGACACCTGTTGGGGGGACGGAAGCGGCCCACAAAGGGCCATACTGTTCACCCACAACCATGCCTCCCGGAGAGACACACTTAGGAACGTGGGAGGATGGTATCACACAGTGGGGCATCATGCAGTGGGACACACAGGCCGCAGCCCCACACACCTGCCTGACAGGCACTCCTTTATACAAGATAGGGCTGCAAACGCACAGACACACACCGCACAGCAAAGCATCTGCATGCATCGCTACCGCAGCGCCAGCTGTGACGCCCGGGCATCGGGCATCGCCTCTGAGTGGAGAAGCTATCACCTGTGTAATCACGGGAACCACAGCAGGACAGCAATTTCCACCTTGAAACAGGGCCCAGGGGGCATATGCCGAGGAAGCTTGGCCGCTGGGTTGCAAAGCCAGAGGTAGTAAGATGCCCCCCTTCCGTGAAGCCCCTGCCCTCCCAGTCCCCTCTGAGGGCGAGCACTTTGTAGTCCCTGCCAACCTTTCTACTCTCTCCTCCGGCGCGCCTACCTACACCCACCCAGGCTCCAGGCTGATGGATTAATTCCATGCGTTGCCAGTGCACTCCCTGTGGAACTAGGTGTATTGAAGTGGAATAAAGGGTTGTGGCTGTGTGGGCTGGGGAGCCGAGAACAGGCTTTCTTTGTAAATGGGGCTCCACGCTGCTATACAGAGCTTCCCCAGGGAGCAGGCGGCCCTTCATTGAGTCCCCGCTACTTGGTCCACTTAGTCCCCAGGGCCCAGGCGAGTTCTGCAGTTGGCAGGCAGCCCCTGCTGGAGGGGGAGAAGCAGGTGAGAGGCCTGGTGGGCTCCTGGCTTGCCCTCCCCCTAGGGGTGGGCTTGATGGAAGTTGGAAGCCTACTACCCGGCCCTCAGGATTTATCCTGTGGGCCTCCCTAATTCCCTTGCACCTGCCTGTACTCGCCCTCCCCCAGCACCTACTGCTCATCAAAGCACAGGTCTCCAGCCTGCATTACCTGTGTTCTTTTTGAGGCTGGCTGGGGCTGGTTGGTATTCAGAAATAGTCATGATAGCAGTTGTCGTGTATCAAGTGTACTGAACACTACACCTAGCTTGTTGTTGGCAGGTGCCCTCGGGGGCTTCCCACCCCGCAATCAACAGAACAAAACTCTGCCCAACCCTCCACCACCCTCACAGTCACCGTTGCATTTGCGCCCCTCGGGCAGGCGACCACTGGGCCCATCGAGGTAGCTGAGGGCCTTCCTCTTCATCACTGGCTTTTCCAGCCTGCTGCCCTTCTCCCGGTCACACGCCCAAAGTACGAAAGGAAGCCCTGCCTCCTCACTGGGAAGGCGCGCTCTGGCGTGCTTCCTGCAGGACAGGTCTGTGTGTTCTGGCAGGCCAGGGCACAGCCGGCACTCTTGGCCAACCCCATCATTCAAAGGCATCCATGTAATCTTCCCCATAGCCACCTGGTGGGCTTCAGCAGAGCCGTTAATAGATGTGAGACAGAGGCCCAGAGAGATGCAGCACCTTCCCCAGTGTCACAGAGGGACCCTGGCTCTGGTCTCTGTGAGCTCAAAACCCACGAGCTTAGCTCGGCACCTCTGTAGAGCAGGCACCAGGAAACTGACGATGGACGAGCAAGAGCCAATCCTGGCCCTCACAGCCCTTTAGAAATGAGTCCAGAGCCATACATGCATCTTTACAAACGAGTGAAATCTCCATTCACTGAAAAAATGCCCTTTAAAATCATATAAATGGAACTGAGATCGTTTTG